CCACCGCGTATACCTCAGCATCTGCATGGTCCGAGAGGGATGCAAAAAAGCCCGCGTAGAGTGCAGGGTTGATGGCAACAGCTGCTCGTGCAGAGATCGAGACGTCGAATGTTGGCTCAGGATCCGCGCCTGAGTCTTCAACCATCTCGAGCTTGAAATCGTCTGCGTGCATCCATTGCTGTGTCGTGCCCACCGTGCGCAGGTCGAAGGTTCCAACAGCCTTCAGGCGGCGTTGAGCGGTCAGCGTTGCCTGCCCGTTGAAGCTCACCGATGCCGATATCTCGAGATCAATCATCAGACCGGCATAGACACCAACTCCAGCAATTGAAGTTCCGAAACAGAGAGATGGAATGCAGATGGGATTGGCGAGAATAGATGTTGGCTCGAAGTACCTCTCGATGTTTAGCCATGCCTTTGCGGTCAGGTCGATGTTGCCATCAATATCAACAGAGCCCCAAGACCAGGACTCAGCAAATGGATTGTATTGGTCGACACGAACAAGCACATGCACATCAGCACTGCCACTCAGGTAGCAATCTTTGCATTCAATGCTTGCACCAAGCGACTCGTCGCCAAATTTTGTCACGAGGCTGGTCTCGGTGAGAGTCAGGGTGATCCCCTTCCACGAAGAACCGCACCAAGCCGTCCAGGCTGCCGTGCGAGGCGGCGAGGAGGAGTCAGAGGATATGACGCGGGCAAAATATGTACAGGCTCCGTCCTCATCGAGATCGCTCAAAGCGGTGGTGCTCGGCGCGCCGCTGGTCACGACCCATCGTGCCGCAGCTGTTCCGCTTCCGTCGCAGGAGGGGTCCCAGTAGACATAGTACGTGGACGAGGAGTCGCGGTAGTACGGGGCGCCCGAGGCAGTGTAGCCGGCAGCAACATACTCCTCGCCCAACAATGCTTCGTGCTGCGCGTCGCAGTCGTCATTGGCTGTGACAACAAACGCAGAAAGGGCTGGGTTGACATGAAACTGTTGGCCAGGGCTGGTGCCTGTTGTGGAGGTGTCGAGAAGCACGAACGACGAACCAGCTGGCCAGCGAGCACGGTAGCACGAACCATAGATGCATGGGCACCCGTCCACGGTCTCGATCACAATCTGGTACTCGGGGAACCATCCTAACCCATCGTTGGCGCAGTCAGAAAGGTCTAGGTCCGGCATCGTGAACCGGTACAAGTTAGGCGACGACTCAATGGCACCTGTGTAGTACTGACTGTAGGTGACGATGTCGTTGGTGCAAAGGCTGCTCACACCGAAAGATCCGTCGGTCTCCCAGATTGAAATTCTAACATCTCCGCCTTGCGGAGGACCGCCAGTCCAGCGAAGCGTGTATTCATTGCCAACTTTGAGTGCAATTTTGTTGTAAAGATAATTCCCGTCGGCGTCGACAAAATCGGTTCTCCAGGCGCAATCGTGGTCGTTCATGATAGGACCAGGAGTATGAGCACTGCACAGCTGGGCATACAACTCGGCTGAGAATGTGTAGCAAAGACCGTCATCCCAGTCCAGAGGTTTGACTGTTTCACTTTCAATCTTGGGCTGTTCAAGAAGGTCCGTTCTGCCCGTCGTGTTTTGGTATTCAGACATGGGTTGATCGTGTGCCGAGGAGATGCGGGAAACCATGGCTGCTGTTGCTGCTTTTAGAGCCCCGCTGGCCGTCGGGATTGATGCGATGCTGCTTGTGGAAGATGTTGATTGATTGACTAGCTCACTGACGGCGCCCGCGAGCTTACCAATTTCGCTCGGGGAGGCCTCAAGATCAAGCACCTGCTTCGCGGTCAGCTCGCGACGGGCAACAACGACAGCGGCTTGCTTGGCTTGGGCAACCACTTCGACACTGCTTGCGAACTCATACCTCGCAGGTTGATGGCCAGTCCTTGCAAGTGAGTTGAGGCGCTTGCCACGGGCGGCCTCGAGGCTATGCGTGCGACCGTGGAAGAATTCGACCTGCGCGTGCTCGAATACCTCGTTGAGCGCTGCCTCGACAGTCTGAAGCGTCACCTCCACCGCACTCGCCGGGTAGTGTGGAGCTGCGGTGGCCGATGCCGAGATCACGCGGTCGCGTAGCGTCTTGCGCCACGGCGAGACGCTCCCGTCCGCGGCACGGAAGACGCAGTGCATGCCGCTCCCGCTGACAATGGTACCCGTGGAGAGCTGGGCCGCGCCCGACTGGCTGCTCACGACGATCACGATTTCGGTTACATTCTGTCCCCCCTCGCTGGCAGCGGAGCTGGCCTCGCATTTGTTCACCCCAATGTCTTCGAGCATGACAACGTGGGGATGCCGCTTGGCCTCGTACTGATAGTAGAGCAGCCGGTCGGACGCCGCGTCGTGGTGCTGGTAGCGATGGCGGAACAGCAGCGGATCTTCGGCCGCCGCGCCGGACGAGTGATGCGGCCGCAGCCCGTGCTCGTGCTCAGCTGCGACTCCACCCGGGTCGACGAGGAGTGGGTCGTGCAGGGACGGGCGCGCGTGCTGGGCTGGTGGCCGCGGCTGCGCGGCCGAGCCGACGACAAGGGCCGCGTGCAAGAGGCTGCCCAGTATGGGCGGCCTCATGGACCGTCAAGTGGACGCACGGCCGGCGGGCTCTCCCGCGTCGTGGCCGAGACTCCTTTCTCCGCTTTCTCTACATGTATTCCATTAATTCATCAATTCATTTGTTTGTGCGTTCGTTAAGTCGGGCCTCAGGCCTTCCGCCGGTTCCAGCGCCTTCCAGGAGTTTGCCGGCGAATACCCCCGTGCGTCGCCAGCGATGCGACATCGTTCTTTCTTTCGCTCTGTCTGCCTGCACCTGTACCTGTCTATCTACCTGTCTGTACCTGTCTGTGTTAGTTGAGTTAGTTAGTGCCACAGTGCGCGCCACAGTCTTCCCGTCCCGTGCCCAGCCAGTGTCGTTCGTGCGAGGTCCTTACTACGTGCCTCCCTCCCTCCCTCCCTGTCTCTGCCTGACTCACTCTGTAGCCTGGCTGGCGTTTGTGCCCCGTGCGTGCCTGCCGCGTCCTGTGTCCCCCGACCGAGTTCACTCAAAAAAGAGCACTGGCCTAATTTCTTGGAGCACTCTACTGTCGTCAACCTTGGAACCGTAGTGTACCTGTGTTAGTGCCAGACTGCCAGTAAAGACAAACCCAGGGGAGGGATAGACTGCCAGGGCAGGCGAAACAACCCGCGGTCGTGTCCGTTATCGTTCTCTGCACCAAGGAGTGCAGGGTGATTGATCTCGCGATTTCCCTCTTGGTAGGCGCCGGCGTGGTGTGCGGCACACACCATTCTCACAGTGACAGGGACAGGGACTTGCCCTTCCCACACCACTCACACCACTCGGAGAGGCACACCATTTTCCTCTTTCCACCCACTCCTCAGTCAGCGGGCCCGCTTCGAGCCATTCTTCTGGCCCTTCTTGCTGGAGGAGGGGCGCGGTTTGGGCTTGCCCTTCTGGCCAGAGCCCGTGCCGCCGCCCAGCCCGAGGGCCTCCATGGCGGCAGCGTGCTCGCCCTCGTCATTGCAGCACTTGCCCTGGCGCAGGTGCTTGTTGCGCCCGTCCTCGCTCGCGTACTTCTTGCAGCAGAGCGGGCACTCAAAGGGCCCCTGCTGCGAGGCTGCCTCGCGGTGCCTCTTCTTCCGCGCTGCAGCCTCGGAGCGGCCGCCCTGCGCCTCAGCCTCGGCCTCGCGGTTCTCCGCCGCTCGGCGCGTGGCCTCGTGGAGGCCGTTGCGCGCGCCGCACAGGCGGCCCTCGATGCCGCGATCGGCCGCCTTGACCTCCTCGGTGGAGAGGAAGCCGCGGGAGCGGGCGGCAACCTGCGCCGCCGTCAGGTCCGCCTTGCTCGAGCTGCGGATGCGCTCGACGGTGGCGCGGTTGGCGTTGGAGGTGAGCGCGCCGTCGCGGCCGAGCCCCTGCATGAACTCACTCGCCCTCCGCTGTAGCTCGCCCTCCTGCATCTGCGCGACGGCCGCACGTGCCTCGCGGCGCGACAGTCCCGCACGGCGCCGCCCACGGCCGACCTTGGGCCCGCGCAGCGCCTGGATCACGACGCGCCGCGTCGAGCCGACGCCGCGGCCAGCGCCCCACTTGAGCTTTGCCGCCTTGAACATCTCCGGCCGCCAGTTGCCAAAGTGCTCGCGCAGCGGCACCGCCGGCTGCGCCTCTGACGCTGCCGCCACCTCCTCCGCCGACGGCGCCTCGGGCGATTCCGGCCTCGCCACCTCGACCACGTACGAGATGCAGCGGCCGTTTGCGCCGTGCGCATGCGGCAGCGCGAGCAGCGCGACCGTGCAGTAGATGCCCGAGCCGCGCGGCACGACAACCTCAACCTCTGCACCGCCGCGGCGCACTCGCAGACTCGCGAAGCGCCCCTCCTCCATCACGTAGAAGAGGCAGCGGCCCGTGTTTCGCTCGGGCTCGGAGGGCGAGTCGGTGTGGAATCCGTCGTCCTCATCCTCGCCCGGCTCGCACTCGCCCTTGTTGATGTTGAGGAAGTCGTTGAGGACCTCACCGTCTGCGCCGGCGGCAACGTCTCGCACCTCTCCCACCCAGTCGCCGAGCGACTCGCCGTTGTCCTCGATCTCCTGTAGAGAATCGAACTTGAAGCGGGCGGTCTGGCCAACGATCTTGTCGAGCGCCGTCGACTGGACCGTTGCCCGCCGCTTCTTTTTGTGATAGCCTCCGGCCGAAGGAGAGACTTCCACGAGCTCCAAGAACGCGGGGAGAACCAGCGCAGGTGCCGGGAGCAGCACGCAATTGGCTTGTACGTACTCCTTGAGCAGGTGCCCCTCGTCTCCATCACCCTCGTTTGCGATCTTGACCTGCAGCATGCCTGGCACGAGAGGGGACGAAAAGGCGGCCGAGTGTCAGATGCTGAGAGCCGCGAGGCGAGGCGAGGCGGCGCGGCGCGGCAGTGCCCGCTTCCCGCGTGAAACGCACGCCGCGCGGAGGTGCCGCGGGCGTCTCAACGTGCAGGACTGGGGCGCGCCTCTCGCGACTGACTGGTGTGTGTCTGGCGAGATGTCAGCAGCGCCGGCGGGCGGAGAGTGGTGGCGGCAGCAGCATGGAGGCAGGCAGGCAGTGGCTAGCTTGCCTGCACTGAGTGGCTGGCTGGTTGGCTGGAACGCTGGCGGGAACGCTGTGAAGACGCGAGCTCATCGAGCACAGCGTGCACGCTGCGCCGTGGCGCCGCCGCGGCGCAGCGTGCACGCTGTGCTTCCTCTCGCTCGTCTCGTCCTTCGTCTCACATCCTGGTCGTCGCGCCGCGAGAAGCGAACGCCGAAGTTCAAACGCCGTCCCTCGCACCCACCCCCACGAAATCCAACGTTTTTGCATTTTTCTTTCACCCCTCTCTCTCTCGCGTACACGGGCGGAATATTTTTGCGCAGCGGCGCCGCCTGGCGCCCGCCACGGCGGCGAGCGACGCGTAGCGAGTGAACCGCCGGGGCGGGCGCCTGGCGGCGCCGCGGAGCTCCTTTGGCTCGGCGCGGGGGCGGGGGCGCGAATAAAAGAAATTTCGCCGCCTACCCTACACCCAACGAATGCGCGAGATACTCCTACCCAACGAGACCTCGAGATAGGAATCGAGCGCACTAGCTAGGGACTGGCGCCCGAAAGTGGCGCTTTCGGGCAAGGCTCTGAGCCACGACCCGTGCGCGCTCGGCTCGAAGTGACCCGGCAGGACCTTCGTCCGGGCCCACGGCCGGCACGCCGTCAAAATTTTTCGCCGATTCCGCGCGCTCGGCCGCCACCGCGGCGCCTCCGAGAGCGCCGTTTCGACACGATGCAGCCGCGGGCCGCGACACCTCGACACACCGCCTCTCGCGCCGCCTCGAGGTGCTCCGATCGTGCACGCGGGTCGGCTCGGCACGGTGCGTGCGAATTATTGCATGTATTCGCACTCGATGCGCCACGTATCTGCCTCTGACGGCCCGGTACGCCACCCGAAGCGCCACAGGTCCACACACGCGGGGCTGCGCGACTCTCTCGCGGCCCACCGCCCTCCCACACGCCGTTCGACCTCCACACAGGCGCTCGCTCGAGCCTCGCCGTCCGGGCGGTCCTGCGCGTCCAGATCTCGGCGACCATGACCCGCCACGCGCCAGCTCTGCACCTCTCCCGCGCGCGCCCGGCTGCTGGCATGGCGAGGCGGGCGAGGCTGGCGCGCTGCGACCGGTGGAGCGCCGCACGGGCAGCGCACCAGCCTCGCACGCACCTCTCCACTGCGCCGCGTGCGCCGCTGGCAGTGACCAGTGTGCTGCGAGGCTCAACATGTGGTCACAGTGTAGTCGGGGTGTGGCTTGTGGTGGCTTGTGGTGCTGATCGCTGGCTCAACACAGCTTTCGTGGTTACCAGGATGTGACAAAAACACAGCTTTCGTGGTTTTGGCGTCACAAAGCGCCGTCCAAAGAGAAAAATATACCTTCTCGCAGCTGCGAGACGGAGCTTTCTCGCGAAGCGACAGCCTCAAAGAAAAAAGGCTTGGCAACGAACGGGCGGTCGCGCCGCGACATATACACACTAAATGTCTGTTTCGGGAAGTTGAGCGTCCGTCCACCCTGACGCTCACCGTTAGCCCCTGGACGGACGCCGCGGGCCGGCCTCGGGCCGGCCTCACGGCCTCATCACCCAGGACGGACGCTGTGTGCTTGGAATAGCGGACGGACGCAACAGGCTCAATTCTGGACGTAAAATTCTTTTTTGATCGTCAAGTGGACGCACGAACACTGCGGACCACCTCGTCATATAGGTAGTTTTGCGGATCGCCGGGCACCGCCCCGCGCCAGATTTCGGAGAATTGACCGCATTCGGCAGAAGACCGAAAAGAAAGAAGAGATCGAGAGAGAGAGAGAGAGAGAGAGAGAGAGAGAGAGAGAGAGAGAGAGAGAGAGAGAGAGAGAGAGAAGAGAGAGGGAGAGAGAGGAGGGAGGAGGAGAAGAGAGGGCCGGGCCGCGATGTCCAAAATTCTCTAGCAAGAATTCTTCTTTGAACCCATTGCCTTCCCGATGTCTGCACCCTACCTCCGCTCGCCACTCCCCTCCTGCTCCATCCTCCTCGACCGGCACACGCACAAGAACGCCGGCTCCACCATGCGCAGCATCTACCGCGACAACGACCTGCAGGACGACTGGGTCCTCTGGGGCTACAACCCGGCAAGCATGGCCGAGGCGTCGCTCTCGCTGCTGCACCTGCTGCTCGAGGCGCGCCGCGGCGGCAACTGCACGCTGCGCACGCCGCTGCGGCTCGTCATGGAGCACCACTACAGCCGCACCGCCGACTGGGACGCCGTCGTCGCCCGCTACGGGCCGCACACGCCGCTGCAGCGGGTCGCCGGCGGCTGCGGCTGCCGCGTCGTGCTCTTCACGCGCGTGCGCGAGCCGCTCGACTACTACGTCTCCTTTTACCGCTGGACGGTGTGGTGGCGGCAGCGCGAGAACGCCACCACGCACGGGCGGGGCCTGTTTGAGTGGGCGCCGCGCAACCTTCAGTCGGCCATCCTGCTCTCTCCGATGAGCTCCGGCTGGGCAGAGTACCTGGGCGTGCGCACGCCGAGAGGGCGGCTGAAGCGGCGCGGCTTCGCGCAGTTCGACGAGGGCGAGCCCGGCGCGGCGGCCGCGCGCGCGCGGCTGCGCTCGCTCCTCGACGCGATGGACCTCGTTGGCCTCGTCGAGCGGTTTGACGAGACCCTCCTCCTCCTCGCCGACCTCACGGGGCTGCAGCAGCTGCTCTACTCGCCGGCCGTGCCGGCGAGCACCGCCGGCACCCGCCTCCCGCCCGGCGTCGCGGCGCCTCCCGCCGCCGACATCTGCCCGGACCGCGAGGCTTGCCGCGCGCGCATCGGCGCCGTCGCGCCGGTCGACGCCAGCGTGTATGACGACGCGCGGCGCGAGTTCAGCGCGCGAGTCGCCGCGTACGGGCCCTCGTTTGCGGAGCGGCTCGCGCAGCTGCGGGCGGCGCGCCAGGCCTTTGGCGCGCGCGAGCGGGCGCGCCGCCAGCGCCGCCCGCTCGCCCGCTCGCCCTACCACCGCTGGACGGGCGCCAGGATGCTGCGCTCGGCGCGGCTTGTCAACCTCTCGCGCCTCCGGTGCCAGTTTGGCCGCACGCGGCCGGCGAGGCGGCTCTGCCGGCAGGTGTACGCCGACATGGCCTTTGTCCACAACTGGCACCTGACGCGCGACGAGTGCTGCGACACTCTCCGAGCGTGCGCCGGCGCGGCCGCGGCTGCGATGCCGCCGGGCTGCGCGAGCTGGCAGCTGCAACGAGGAGGCGGCGGAGGCGGAGGCGGCGGCGGAGGCGGAGGAGGCGCGCGGCAGGTCAGCGACGCCGACTGCGAGCGGTTGTGCCGCCCGCCGGTGGATCGTGACCGTCGCCTCATCGAGCGAGCGACCGGCCGCCTCTTTGCGGCCCCGCTGGCCGGCTGGGCGCCGCCGGTGCCGGTGCGTTCCGTCAGCAGCCGGCAGGGGCTGCGGGACACGCCAGCGGCGCCGGCCGACGGCGCGTGGTGCAACGACACGTCGGACTTCTCCATGACGCCAGTGCGGCCGTGGGGCGATTTTGTGTCGTGCGCCGCCGAGGCGCGCGACGGTGGCTGCCTGCCGGAGAGGGCGAGGATGGACCACGCCTACGTGCGCCTCCACTGCCAGCGCACGTGCCACCTCTGCTCGCTGGGGACCGAGCTGCTCATCGCACCGGCAGTGTTGCCACCGAGCAGAGTGGTGGCGGCCGGCGGAAGCGGAGCGGCGGAGCCACACTGAACTATGTGAAAAGACAGTGAAGGCGTGTGCGGCGCCGTTAGCCTCATCGTGTAACCTAAACCAAAACCGTGTGCGCGTCGCGCCGCGACGGATGTGGCGCTTGTGGGATGAGCATCATAACCATCATAACCGACCCGGTAGTATACACATAACACAGCATCCCCAGCGCTCTACATTGAACACAGGTATCCCCCAAACATATATGCGCCGCGCCCGCCCGCCCCCGAGAGAGCGAGCCGTACCACGTGCGAACGCCACAGTCGTCACATAGTCTGTCACAGGGCGCAATCACAGACATGAACGGGGCCTGCCCACCACCGCACAACCCTTGACCGCACCTAGACATGTGGGAGCACGACGACATGCCACATGGGCCCTGCACGAGAGTGCCGGCGCCCAACGAGCAGCGCCGCGGGAGCACAGCGACCAAAGAGCACGACCAGACCCCCCCCCTAGCCCTGGACAGGACGCGAGACGGACACGGAAATTGTCGCGAGAGGAATGCGCTGGCGATTCGCGCGAGAAGCCGGCGCACGTCATGCCGGCGTAGCAAGGCGATGGCCACGCCCTTCCGAAGGGGCCGCACCCTCGCCATGCGCCTCGCGCGCCACAGAAGCTCTCTCCGCCTGCACAGCCCCGACCGCAATACCCCCCATCGCCCTCGCGTCGACATGTAGGGAGCATCGCCCCGGGTACGTATGGGAAGCGCGCAACGGCACCTGCGCCCTCAGCCCTGCTTGGCGACGTCGGGTGGCTGCTGCTGTTGCTGCTGCTGCTGCTGCTGCTGCTGCTGCTGCTGCTGCTGTTGCTGCTGCTGAAGCTGCTGCTGCTGAAGCTGTTGCTGCTGTTGCTGCTGCTGCTGCAGCTGCTGCAGCTGCCGCTGCCCCGCCGCGCCAGAAAGCACCCGCCGCCCGTTGAGCGGCGTGTTTGCGGGCGATGGGAAGGGCGAGGCGGACGCGAGCAGCACCTGAGGGCGCGCGGGCGAGCCGGGGGGGGAAGGGGGGGAGGGGAGAGGTGGGGGGGGGGGGGGGATGAGGGCGATGTCGGAGCCAAGGGTTGGTCTGATGGGGTGGCGCCGGAGTGACTGTGTCAGTAACGCGGCGAGGCGGCGTGGTGGCGGCGGGCGCGCACCAGCAGCTCCTCGTGCGAGAGGGAGAGGTCGCGGCGGCCCATGTGCAGCTGCGCCGCAGCCTCGAGGTCGGCGAGCGAGAGCAAGTCGCCGTCCTTGAGTCCGTCCTCCGGCGCGGCGTCGACCACCGTCGCCTCGGCGGTCATGGGGTCAGGGTCGGCGGCGGAAGGGTCGGCGGCGGAGGGGGCCAAACCATCGGGGGCGGACAGCGGCATGCCCGCTCCGAGCGGCTGCGGCGGCATGCTGGCTCCGAGCGGCTGCGGCGGCATGCTGGCTCCGAGCGGCTGCGGCGGCATGCCCATGTCTAGCTGAGGCCCAGCGGGCGGCGGCATGCCCATGCCGAGCTGAGGGACGGCTGGCGGCGGCGGCTGCATGGCAAAGTCGAGCTGCGGCCCCGGCGGCGCCCCGTTCGCCGACGGCAAGCTTGCGGACGGCGCCCCAAAGGACGGGCGGCGCGGCTGCGCGCCCCACGCCGGCTGCTGCCACGCGGCGGGCTCTTGGCTGTAGCCCGCCATCTGGGGCCGCAGCGGCGTCATCGGCGCGTCGCCGAGAGAGAGCGCCTCCACCGAGGGCAGCGGCGGCGGCGCGTGCGGCGCGAGGGCGATGCACGTCCACGTGCGGCGCGAGTCGGGGTGGATGAGGATGCGGCCGCGCACGTCGCACGGCATGTGCACGCCCGTGGAGAGGCGGACGCGGACGGGCTCGGTGAGGGCCGACTCGGCCATCTGCTCGTGCTCGGCGCCTAGGGGAGCCGCGCCGCGTGTCAGAGCGGCCGTGTCCCGCCCCGACGGCGCCATGTCTGCGCGGCGGCTGCCGGCGCGCATCTGCGACCAGAGCGAGGCGTTGAGCTGCATGAAGCGGGCGCGGTCCTCCTCGTGACGACGTTGAGGAGGAGGAC